ATGCCAGCTTCAATGAGTCTTGAACGAAGAATCATTCTCAGAGCTTTTGGAGCTGAGTTGGTTCTTACTGATCCAGCTAAGGGCATGAAGGGTGCTGTGCAGAAGGCTGAGGAGATTTTAGCTAAGACACCAGATGCATACGTGCTCCAGCAGTTTGAAAATCCTTCCAATCCAAAGGTCCTTTCTTAATTTACCTTTTAGCGATGCAGTTGTTGGTTGGAAATGTATAATAAACTAATATCTGACAATGTTATGTAGATACATTATGAGACAACTGGACCAGAGGTATGGAAAGGCACAGATGGAAAAATTGATGCATTTGTTTCTGGGATAGGTACTGGTGGTACCATAACAGGTGCAGGCAAATATCTTAAAGAGCAGAACCCCAATATAAAGGTAATGAGCTCTTATTGTGGATGTTAATTTGCTATAGGATTTGTTAATGTGAATCTTCTTCAGTCTAAGAAATAATTTGCTATAAGATTTGTTGACATGTATCTTACGCAGTCTAAGAAATTAAAATAAGAACTTGAATCTGTACCATTTGGTCATCATGCACTATCAATTTTCTCATTGGTTTTCCTTTTTTCGTGGTAGCTATATGGAGTGGAACCAGTTGAAAGTCCTGTTCTCTCTGGAGGAAAGCCCGGTGAGTTTAAGTTGTAGTCTTTACATGGCCATGGATGATGTGCTTATTCTGGTTTTTGCCACAGGTTCCTAGAGACATGTTTTGCACCATGCATGCATCTTGTTTCCTTAAAGCAAGATCTTGTTTTGCCAAATTATTTTCATTATTATGTGGAGCACAGTCCTTCTTGACTTTGCTTTAAAAATTTGTGATTTTTTATGTATATATGGGGATCTAAGGTTTTTTCTCCAACATTATCAAACCTTTGCAGTTGATTACTTGGTTGATCTGGAATAGTTCCTTTATAATCAGCCTTCTTAAGCATACACGTTCCTTTTACACTGTCCCATTTTTTTCAATAATGTCTTGTTTTCCATGGCGTAATATTTTCCTTTAATGACGTTCACTCTGGTCTCCTTGTGTCTAGTTATTTATTTGTTATGAGTTTAAGAAATCTTTTGGTTTGCAAAATTACTAAATCAATTCTATTGTATTAATGTGAAGGTCCACATAAGATCCAAGGAATTGGTGCTGGTTTTATCCCTGGTGTTTTGGAAGTTGGTCTTATTGATGAAGTTGTTCAGGTGAGGACAAAGTGTATTTAATTTATCGCAATGTTTTTAAAAGCCAATTCTGGATTAACTTTGTTTTGTTGTTATCTGAACAAGTCTTCTTCATGGGTATGATGATATATATTAAAAGGATTAGCCGGTTATTTTAGCGTTTTGCTAATCTTACAAAGTTTTAGTAAAATTGTAATGGCCTCAAAATTTCCCTATTTTTTAATTGCCAGTTATTTAAATTTGCAGATATCAAGTGATGAAGCTATTGAAACTGCAAAGCTTCTTGCACTGAAGGAAGGCTTGCTTGTATGTTCCCAACCTTTCAAATCTCTGAGATTGGAATTTAAAACCTATGCTCTTTTGCTATTTTATTTGAATTTCTGTCATCCAATATTCCAATTGTACTCTGCCCTCATGTCATGCTAACTTTAGAAGCTTCTTTTGCAGGTAGGAATATCATCTGGTGCTGCTGCAGCTGCTGCTATTAAAATTGCTAAAAGACCTGAAAATGCTGGAAAACTCATTGTTGTAAGTTTTATTTCTCGGCTCTTGATTTATGAAACTTTCTATTGGACCAGTTTTTGAATCTATTTGAAGGCTAAGGTGTTTGGTCTTATTTTGAATATTCTTGCCTTACCCACCATGAGCATATTATATAGACAAATTTGAATCATGAGCATGAGCATAACCTTGAAAATCAACCTTGCTTGCCTTATGTACATTGTTAGGAGGGGGGGCCTTTGTCTAACTAACCTTGAAAATTAACCTTGTTTGCCTTATCTAACAACCATGAGCACATTACTTCTAATTTGAAGTGTTTTTTAAGTTGGAGTGATTGATTAGATTGATTGAGCAGTGGAGGACAATAGAATAGGATCCATTTGAAGCAATAATCAATGGGATAATACATATCTATATCTGTGGAGTTTTTGTATCAAGAAGAGCATGGAGTATCTTTCATTCATTTATTCAAAATTTACATCACGCTAAAATCAGTTCCATTCATAAATATCTGCAGGTGATTTTCCCAAGCTTTGGAGAAAGGTATCTGTCGTCAGTGCTCTTTGAATCGGTCAGGAAAGAGGCCGAAAACATGACCTTTGAGCCATGAGCTAATTCTCTTCTTTGCAAGTAGTTCTGGTTTTATAGACAACATGGTTTAGATCTGAGAATGAATAAATTTATTGAGTTACTTTGATCTGTAGCTCAAGTTCGGAATTTACTTATAGGATAGCCATTCTGGTACTGAAAATGAACCATTTACAAATTT